TGCTTCCCCCCCCCCGAGTCAGTGCCCACCCTTCAGGTTGAGAGAGAGCCACTCGGCCCTTTTTCAGGGATGCCCCAGTCCCCTCTCATGCAACTGCTTACCGAGATCTTCAGAAATGGCTTCCAGGCTGGGCTGGAGCCTTAGCCCAGCAGAAAGGGTGTTTGCCTTGCAAATGACTGACCTGGATTTGATCCTGGGTCCCCGAGCTCCTCAAAGAGTACGTCCTCAGCACTGCTGATGAGTCATCCCTGCTCTCCTCTCCAAGTGGCATCCAGGTTGGGGTCTGTTTAAAACTTTTCCTTTCACAATCTGCAAACTGGGTGTCTATGTGTCTGCATCAGGCTTGGTCCCCTCTTGACTTCCTTCCCTGTTGGCTTTTTGGAACCATAAATTCTGTCTTGAATGTCCTCCAGTGCCTGCAAAGAGACCATGTGCATGCATGTGTATGTATGTGCATGTGTGCGTGCATGTGTGCATGTATGTGTGTGTACATGTACGTGCATGTCCATGCATGTGTGCATGCATGTATGCATGCATGTGTGTGTGCATATGTGTATGTGTGTGTGTCCTTTTGTACAGCCAGAATTCTGAAGCAGCTGAGCAGGTGTGTCTTGGAACCATGTTCTTGCCAGCGTTTCCCAGAGCCAACTCCCCACCTGATGTCCACCTTCAGTCCCTCTGTCTACTGCCCACCTCCTGCAGGGAGCTCGGCCCCCCCGTAGATGCTGATTATGCCCTGTCACTGCTCATCCCAAGAGCCCAGCGAGGGGTAGTCAGTGGCGGGGTCCTCCCTATCTTCCACAGCTGTTCACATTTGGGCTTTTGGGGAGAATCTAATATGCGTGCAGTGGAAACTCAATTCTGGACATATGCAAAGAGCCCCTCCGGCCTCATGCCCCAGAGACCCAGAAAATGCCAGCAGTCCCACCCTCATAGTGCTCGCTGCCTGTAGGGGTTCGGGGGCGGGGATTACAAACAATTTTTAATCAGCCGGGCAGTTTCTTACAAAACGGAACGTCCCTTATCATGATTCCAGAAATAACACTTCATAATACTGAGCTAGAGTCACTGAAAACTCACACTCACACACACACATGTACATACACAGATGCACATGTACACACATACATAAATGCACACACATACACATAACACATATACCCACATACACACATGCACACACATACACACACAACCACATGTACACACACCTGTGCAACAACACAGCAGCCTCAGTCACAGCCAACTCTTGGTTGAGCCAGGCGGTCTGTAGGAGGGTGAAGGTGAATGACATGGGCTCCCCAGGCAGTGAGAGGAGTGGGCTCTGGGGACAAGGGAGGGCTCTGGCCAGAGGGGCTGTGACCTGACACTCAGGTGTTCTGAAAGGGGAAGATGAGATGGCGATGCGGTCCATGGTGCAGGAGTGTGGGGGTGAGACAGTGACTAGGTGGGCAGGACATGCTCTGCATGACAATGTTACGGACATATGTTTTTTGGGGTAGTGGATACCTGGTGGTGCTCGGGGGACCGTATGAGTCAGCTGTGTGTAAGGCAAGGGCCTTACCCCTGGGATCATAGCACCGAGTGAACCTACTGTCAGTGGTGGGGGCTGGGCAGGGCCGGCATTGGTGTCAGAGGCTGCGTCTGCTCTTGTTGCCTGTGGTCATGAAGGGGGGAAGCATATTTAAAAAGGGAGAACTGGTTGCCCTCCTGAACTGGGCCATAGGTCACGGCAAGGGCTAGGGGGTTGAGATGTGCTTTGTGAGTCAGTGAAAGATCTGGCAGTTCTGTGGGACTTCGGGTGACTGGACCTGTGGTGAGGACAGAGCTGGGGAGGGCTGCTTCCCTTTGCATGAGAAACCCAATGATAAGGTTGGGGTGCGATGGGGTGCGCTAGGGCGGGGCATTTCTGGCGGTGTTTTCTGCACACCTCTCTGTGTGGGCACAGACCCTTCATGCACCCCTGCATGCTCCCTAGCCCCAGACTCCCTCACCACTGCTCCTTTCGCTGGAGAGACCCCAGGACTCAGATGCTCCTGCTCCCCTCCATGTCTAAGCAGCAGCGAGGCTGGAGTGAGGCCAGCGCCAGAAGACGAAGACCCACCCCTGAGGGAGCCCCACCGTGCTGCCAGGCGCAGGCTGGGCCGAGAGGGGCGATGCTCTGGGAAACAGGCAGTGAAATGTCTGGGAGCCCCATGGAAAACCCAGAGAAAGACCCCAAGGACACTGAGAGAGGGTGGGGAGTGCTCCTTGGTGTCCAGCCAGCATGGGGGCACCATGGGAAGGTCATGGCAGCGTTGGGGGAGAAGAGTTGGTGTCTGGGAGAGGCGGGGGTGCCCGAGCTGTGTTCCCTTAGGTAGAAGAGCCCAGAGCGGTGGCTTGTTTGTGAGATGTGACAAAATGAAGGTGGAGGGAAGAGCTTCTCAGTCGCTGCTTTGGAAGGAGTTTGGCTTCCTTGCAAAAGTAAAACTGAGAGCCCCAGAGATAGCACGGCAGGGAGGGCATGTGGTCGACCTGGGTTTGATCCCTGGAACCCCATATGGGTCCCCTGAGTACCACCAAGAATCTCCTCTGAGCAGAGCCAGGAGTAAGCCCTGAGGACTCACAGGTCTGCCCGTCCCCCCCAAAAAATACCCAGACATAGCAATACTATGCATTGTGCGGTTCTATGGCATTTCAGGGTACTTGAACTGAGTTTCTGATAGTCGGTTGTGAGGGCTTTGGCAAAAGGGACTGGGTCAAAATTCTAGTCACGGTGGTCATTCGAGTTCATTCCAAAGTTCGTTGGTTTGTTGTTTTGGACCACACCTAATGATGCTCAGTGCTGACTCCCAGCTCTACTCAGGGATCACTCCTTGCAACACTTGGGGACCAAATGAGGTGATGGGGATGGAACCCCACTGGCCATGTGCAGAGCAGATGTCTTAATCTCTTACTCTTTCTCTGACCCTCAAAATTTTTTTTCTTTACAAAATTCAAAAACACAGGGCTGAAATGATAGTACCTGCGGGTAGGGCACTTGACTGGCACACCACTCACCCGAGTTCAATCCCCAGCACCCCATATGGTCCCTTGAGCAATGCCAAGAGTGATTTCTGAGTGCAGAGGCAGGAGTAATCCCTGAGCACCGCCAGATGTGACCCAAAACGTAATATATATATATTTATATATATAATTTTATAGATGTATTATCTATTGGGCTGGAGCGATAGCACAGCGGGTAGGGCATTTGCCTTGCAAGCGGCCAATATGGCCGACCCAAGTTCGATTCCTCCGCCCCTCTTGGAGAGCCTGGCAAGCTACTGAGAGTATCTCGCCCGCACGGCAAATCCTGGCAAGCTACCCGTGATGTATTCGATATGCCAATCACAGTAAGAATTGTCACAATGGAGACGTTACTGGGCCCGCTCCAGCAAATCGATGAACAATGGGAGGACAGTGACAGTGACAGTGATTATCTATTATATTTATTAAGGCTAGAGCGATAGCACAGTGGTAGGGCGTTTGCCTTGCACGCAGCCAACATGGCTGACCCGAGTTCGATTCCTCCGCCCGTCTAGGAGAGCCCGGCAAGCTACTGAGAGTATCTCACCCGCACAGCAGAGCCTGGCAAGCTCCCCGTGACATATTCGATATGCCAAACACAGTAACAACAAAGTCTCCAGTGGAGACGTTACTGGGCCCGCTCGAGCAAATCGATGATCAACGGGAGGGCCTTTACTTACTTACTTTACTTATATTGATATATATTAACTATATAGTATGTATAGTTAATAAAGGAATATTATCAGTAATCATGATACCTTGTAGTCAACAAAAGGGGAAAAATGAGCTTCCCACTTTCCCCTCCAAAATATTTGGACGTGAGTTTAGGTTTTAGGCAAACAGATGGGCACCACTCTGGGTAGGGGCTGGCAGAGGCTGGGCAGCCTTAGTTTCTGACAGTCTCCCAGGGTCTGGAGAGTTCATGATTTGCATGTGGGAACCCAGAGTAGGTGCCCAGTGTCACATAGTTCCCTGCACAGGTAAAAATAAAATAATAGCACATCCCCTCCCCCCACATAAAAAAAAAACCTTTCGGGAAGCTATATCATTTCCTCAGCGCAGACTGGGGAAGCACAGAGTGAAAGAAGAAGGAAGCCCCTGTTTTAACTGTCAGCTCCTTGCAGGGTTGCAACTAGCTCCCCACATCCTGAGTGGTCATGGCTCCCTGCCATTCTGCTGCTCAGAGCATCTTCACACTCAGCCCACAGGCCTGCATGAGAGCTAGAAGGGAGGGGGAAGAGAGGCATGGACGGACAGAGGAGGGAGAGCAAGGGACCCCAGAAGGCAGACCTGTGAAACTGGTGGCTCTGGGATTTGGGCTCTGCCATCTCCGCAGCCTCAGAAGTGCCCGAGTGCTTTGGCTTCTCCTCGACAGGGGGAGGCAAGAAGGCCTGGCCCAGGCTTCACCCCGGCACTGCATGCTATCCCCGAGCCTTCCAGGAGTGAGCCCTGAGCACAGAGTCAGGAGTGTCCCAGCCTCTGGGGGAACAAGGCGTAAGCACAGTGGGGAGGGCACTTGCCTTCCATAACTGCAACCCGGGTTCAACCCACAGCACCACCAAGGCACCCCCAGCCAATGCACCCTGAGATCGTCAGAGAGATCCCCGAGTGCAGGGCCCAGAGTAAGCCCTGAACACAGTCAGGTGTGACCCAGAATCAGAAACAAAACAACAAATGAGTGCGCAGCCCAGCGGATGCCCCCTCTCCTTGTTATGGCCACTCTCTGAGAAGGCTCCACGTCAGCACCACAGCCCTCGCCCAAGACCAGTGGCTGCTGTCAGGAGGTGCAAGGGGACAGAGAGAGTCACCCTGTGGGCCGGGATAGGGCAGGAGGTCTGTGGGACCGGCAGGAGGCACCTTGAGTGGGGTGGGGTTGGGTTGTTCCCCTTTGTGGGAAGTGGCAGTGTGGGATCCCCACATAGCCAGTGCCTGCTTCAGTCGCCGCTGCAACACGCATGGCCATGGGGCAGACCATGGCCCCCTTTCCCGGCGTCTTTCTGAGCCTCGGTGAGTCTGTAGGGAGCTGGGGACTGCGGGGGGGGGGGGTGGGGGCGGAGGGGTCCCCTCCCTGTGGTTCCTGAGTCTGACCCAAAGGCCCTGGGGTCTGGGGAGTGAAGTCCACTTGTGACTGGACAGGGTGAGTTTCAGAAAGCACCTTCTTGGTTTGAGGTTCAGGTCTTGGGAAGGGCTGTGGCGGGGTTGGGGATTCATGGAGACTTGGGCAAGTGGTGCTCAGAGTGGGGGAGTTGAGGGGTGCAGGACTGCCCGGTTCTCATGGAGGGTCTGTTTCAGCCCTGTGCCTCAGCCAGATGGGCCCCTCGCGGGAGCAGGCAGGTAAGTTCCCGTGGCTCCCAAATCTGCCTCTGGGGGAGGAGGCCCGGCTAGGAAAAACTGGCTGGCAGCACCCACAAACACATCCTTCCGCGACTCTGCCCCTTCCTCACCTCTGCTGCTGAGGGTCTTTGACTTCCCAGTGCAACCTCCGCGCAGCAGATGGTCAGCGGCCAGGCCATCCGCCCTCCCCATGGCACCCTGCAGGACACTAGTGGGGCCATGTTGCTCTGTGTGCGTGTGTGTGTGTGTGTGTGTGTGTGTGTGTGTGTTGGGTGCGGCAGGGGAGGCAGGACCCAGACTCTGTGGGTGAGTCTCGGCCCTCAGCACTCTCTAGAGTCTCTTGAGGCCTTTGTGTTCTGCCAGAGCTAACTGCCTCCTGCCCCCTCTGGTCCTGGGCTCTGCACCCTGCCCTGGAGCCCTGCTCTGCGCTCCCGCTCTGCTCTGTGCTCAAGCTGCCCCAGCTTTCTCAAGCCTTCTCTGTACCTCCAGCTCCCTGTTCCTTCCCACCCCACAAATGGGTTTGAATGTGTGTGAGTGCTCAGCCCATTAAACTCTGGCCTAGCTCAGACTGCCAGCCCAAGGGCAGGGTCTCAGCCCCAGGGTCTGAGGATTCAGGGATGGATGAAACCCCGAGGTCTGGAAGGATGAGGGTGCTGGGTGGAAGCAACCCAAGTCCTGGGCACTGCCTCCAGGCGGGACCCTTTCCACCACTAGTCTGGTGGAGACAATGGGGTTCCACTGAGGAGGAGGAGGTTTTCTGTGGGGGGGTCCCCTGTGGGACAGGGGTGCCCAGACAGTGGAGTTTTGTGGCAGAGGGATGCTCAGACCACAGCTGCTTGGGTGCCCAACAATGTTCCAGAGCAAAGCCCAAGATCCAGCCAGAGACAAGAAAGTCGCTGCCCAGAACAGCCAGGTGTCTGGGCAGGGGCAGGGGGGAAGGTTCTAGAATGGACTGGGGGAGTGGTGCCCTGCGCTGTAGGTTCACAAACACACTCACATGTACTCATACACATACTCACACACATATACTCATTCACACACATGTACTCACACACATGCTCACACTCAAGCAAATGTACTCAAACACACACACATATTCACACACATACGTGAACACATACACTCACACATGCACACACTCACATATACTGACACATCTATTCACGCTGGTCACATTCTTACACTCACATTCACACATATATACACTTTAATGCATATACTCACACTCAACACATATTCACACTCACACATGCACACACATTCACTCACACACATTCACACACACTCACAGTTCACACTCATACACACAGGCAAATAATCACACTTATACTCACACTCAACACATATATTCACACTCATGCACATATTCACACGCTAACACATATAATTACACTCAACACCATATAGTTACACTCAACACAAGTATTCACACTAATGCAAACAGACATTTACTCACACTCACACAATATGAACACAATCACACATCCATACACATATACTCACTCACACTCACACACTCACACACTCAAATGCTGAATTGAACATCAGGCAGCTGATCTGTGGGGTTTGTCCCGATCTGCCCCCTGAGATCTGCTCTCACCCTCACCAGGGTTCCTCTCTCCGCCCTCCATCTCAGCCCAGCCGGACCCTGACATCCCCTGGGGCCAGCCCGTGACCTTGGTGTGCCAGGGTCCTGCTGGGACCAACACATTCCGGCTAGAGAAGCAGTACAACATGTACAGCTGCGCAGATTCAACCCATGAGCAATGCAAATACACGGATCTGACATGTGAGAGACACATGGCTCAGAAATGTGTGGGATGTTACTGTGTGAATTCGTCATGTGTGAGCTGTAACTCTGACGACAACGTGTTCAGGTGTGATCCAGGCAAGAAAGAGGCCTGGTTCCTCATCCCAGCAGTGAGTGGAAACTCCATGGGCTGCTACCGCTGCCTCTACTGGACAGGGAGCAGCTGGTCTGAGCGTACTGACCCCCTGGTGATGAGAACTGAGGACATCTCTGATTGGACCCCAGGTTTGCCCCAGGTTCCCCACTCTGCCCCAGCTGCCTAGAGACCTGACCCTCTGCCAATGGGGGCACTGAGTCCCATGGACCAGAGACCACAGAGATGGCCTGGACACTCAGCCCCCAGCAGGGACCCCAGCCTGGCCTGGACACTCAGCCCTGGGCAGAGAGGCCAGGATGGCCTGCAAGGTGGGGCGGGAGCAGGCTGTGGTGACTGTGAGGGGACGCATGTACTTCAGTAGAGCCCCCAACTTCCCCAGGCTCCTGCTGACCTACCCTCTCTTTGTTGCAAGGCCCAAGCAGTGGACCCAGTGGGGAGTCTGTGACCCAGGCCTCTGACAGCACAGGTGAGGGGTGATGGGACATTGAGCAAGTTGACTCCTGCATGTGCGATCAAGGAACACTCCTCCACCCCCATGCCCTGGGCCTCAGAGGGGGGCTCCAAGCTCCCAGAGTCCAGTCTGTAAGGAAATGGGGGTGCAGGAGTGACCCTGACCCGTCCTATCCCAGGCAGCCTCTCTCTGACCCAGTGTCCCTCTGTCTCGTCCACAGGAACACCTCAGCTTCCCTCACCCAGCAACACCGCTCAGGGTGACAGCCCTCAACTGCAGGGAGGTAGGTGAGGGGCCTGGAAGTTCTGAGGCTACATGCAGGCCTGGGGGTTTCCCTGGTCCTGGGGTGGTGGCCGGGTCCAAGCTGGTGCTGTGACAGGTCAGGGCTCCTCCCGCCAGAGGCTCCAAACCCATTCACAGCAACCGGACCCACACCTCAGCTCTCAAACCTCTGAGCCCAAACCTCAAGATGTGAGCACCAGAGCCGGCTGCACTCAAACTCCAAACGTTATCAGTTTTCCAACCAGGGACCTCAGAGCCCAGATTAGGGTTTGCATCAGCTCAGCAGCGCTCCCTGGTGGACGCAGAGCCTGCTGGTGGATAGCAGGGCCCCTTAGTGGACAGCAGCGCCCTCTGGTGGTCAGCACCTGCCCCTGCAGGTGTGGCCCTGGGAGGACCAGAGAGACCAAGGCCAGCTAAGGTCCACCTGGGGCTGTAGTGCTCCAGGTCACCCTCCCTCTGGTCCTGAGCCCACTGGGCTGAGTCAGGGCATGGGGGCCTTGCTGTCCCCACCGCTGCCTTCACGATCCTGCTACGAACCAAAGCTGGGTTCCCCGGCATGTGCAGATTTTGCCGAGCTCTCACCCTCCTGTAGTGGGTGTTCCTGTGGGTGGGTGGGAGGGATGTCGGCCACTGCACCGTAGGGGTGTCCTGAACCTGGCAGGCGCCCTGTCACATACACTCCCCACCCGCTGTGCCTGAGCAGGGCTGCCCTCCCCTGCACGGGAAGGTGAATGAGGACACAGGACAGCGATGCATGCACACTGGGGCCATCAGCTGCAGGCAGAGAACTTGCCTTGCACTCACCTAACCCGGGCAATCCCCGGCATCCCGTATGGTCCTTCAGGTTGCCGGGAGTGATCCTTGAGCACAGAACCAGGAGTAACCCCTGAGTACCACTGGGAATAGCCCCCCAAACAAAAATAAATCCAAAACTAAGGATAGTGGTGGAGCTGCACATGCAAGTGCAGAAACCCAGGTGCAGCTGAATGTGATATGGTTTACGTCCCAAGCCCATCACTGAACATGTATGGTACATAGTGAATCTAGGTGGCATCGGTAACAGACCGAGTGATCTCACGCCTCTCTTCTCCCAGGCCCAACCCTGGTGCTCGTGTACATCATTCGCACGGCCGCCCTTGCCTTCCTCCTGCTCATCCTACTGCTTCTCCTCCTCTTGCACCAGTGCTGGAAGCGCGGTGGGTGGCTCTGGGAGAGGGTGGCGAGGTCGGGCCGGCCTGGGATTGCTGGGAGAGGCCCTCTCCCTAATCCAAACCCCTAATCATCCTCAGGGAGCCCCAGAGGCAAAGGCAAGGAGGGAAGATGGCAGGAGAGGTGAGGCTCTGGGACGGAGCCCTGTCCCAACCCCTGTCCCTGGTGACCCCACATCACACATATCTCCTTCTAGTTTCATCCTGACTGGTGGCCTCCCAGACAAAACACCAGGTAAAGGGATAGAGTGTGGGGGGACAGGCTGTGGGAGGTGGGAAGTTAGCGCCGGAAGAAAAGGTTTCTGTAGTTCTCCTCCTCCTCCTCCTCCTCCTCCTCATCCTCCTCATCCTCCTCCTCTTCCTCCTCTTTTCCCTGTCCCTGTCCCTGTTCCTCTCCCTCTCCCTCTCTTTCTCCTTCTCCTTCTCTTCCTCCTCCTCCTTTCTCCTTCTCCTCCTCCTCCTCCTCATCCTCCTCATCCTCCTCCTCGTCTTTTCCCTGTCCCTGTCTCTGTTCCTTTCCCTCTCCCTCTCCCTCTCTTTCTCCTTCTCCTTCCCTTCCTCTTCCTCCTCCTTCTCCTTCTCCTCCTTCTCCTTCTCTTTGTCCTTCTTCTTCTTCTCCTTCCCCTTCCCTTTCCCATTCCCATTCCTATTCCCATTCCCCTCCTCTTCCTCCTCCTCCTTTTCCTCCTCCTCCACTTCCTCTCCTAGTCCTTCCTCCACTGAGGAGGTATGAGAAGGGTGAGGGAGAAAGATGACTACAGAGAAGAGAGCAAAAGAAACTCATACATCCCGAGCTGAAATGCTGTGCCCCTGGTTTGCTCTCACCCCCGCCTGGGAGCTGCCTGCCACCCTATCTCCTCCAGATCTGGTCACAGTGGATGGTGCCCTGATGCTGGGCAGGAACAGGAGGGCCTCGCTCGTAAGCCCATCTACCCTCTCCATGTAAGGGACTGAATCATGGATTTGCTGGTCTCTCTGGATCAGGGTCCTGGGAAGGTGCCAACTGGACATTATCATGAACTTGGCAGTGTCCACGCTGGGCTCTACCTTCCACCCAGGACATCCCCGTGGTCTGCCCAGAGGGAGGTTCTAGAGACAGCATGTCCTTTGTCCCATCCGTGGAGAGGAAAACTCCATTCTCATTATCCCTGACCATCTGGGTGGGAACTCGAGGGATTTCCTGGCTGTGGGTCTGGTTCCCGCCTTCCCAGCTCCATACTCCGACATCCTCACCCTCTCATTAGATGCCGGCTGCAGGAAGCCCCCAGGAAGTGACCTACGCCCAGCTGGACCAATGCACCCTCACTCAGAGGCCCCCGGGAAGTGCCCCCTCGCGGACTGCAGACCCCACAACCAAGGACTGCACCTATGCCACCCTGGCCAGACCCTAAGCAGCTGCATCCTCCCTGGGGCGCATGAGGAATCCCAAGTGTCCACGAGAGTGCGCCCTTTTAGGACAGGGTCCAAAGCTCCTGGAGGCAGGGGCAGGACGAGCTAAGCCCTTGAACACTGGCCAGCCGGTGACCCTGAACACTCAGTGTCAGAGAAAATGGGCAGCGCCTGCCTCCAGACACCAACTGAAGTCCCCTGAATGCAGAGACCCAGCCGCTGGGGCTGCCCAATGATGGCACAGTGAAGCCCCCAGCTGTGCTATCTGCCTAGTGGCCACTGCTGGTCTCCCTGGAGTCCAGTGCTGACCTGGAGCTTCGCTGGCATTGATGCTTCCCAGAGCTCAGGTCCCGGTTCACCCTGCGCGCATCAATAAATGTCAAAGTCTCCCACTCGGGGCCAAAAACTAGGCCTGCCGTAGATCTGCCTGCCTAGCAAAGAAGCCTATGGGACCAATGCCGTGGTTTTGGGGTGCAGGAGGAAGATGATTGGGGGTGTTGGCTGGAGGAGTCGAGCACTCACCTCACCCACCCAGGGGGGTTCAGACACCCCTCACACCTCTGTGAATGTAGACACATTCATACATGTGCAAGCTTCCACATCCCACACACCCTCCTGTGTAGAAATGCGGATATCCCCCAAGTGTACCCCATATACTACCTGCTCACGAGTGCACAACTGTTGAACCCATGCACCTGTGTGTGCTCCATACGGGACGCACAGTGAACCGGAGGGGGTTCTGGTGAGCTCATGCTTGCAGGGGGAAGGGTGCTGGAGAGGTCAAGCTTACACCTGTGACAGAGCGAAGCCAGGAAGCGCTGAAGATTCTCATCCCTACGCTACTCCAACCCCCTCACACCAGACACTGTGTGTCCTCCAAACCCTGAAGGCCCGACTCTCACCCTCTAATTACTACTGCCTTTGGCCTGGCATTGGGCAGCTGCCCTGGCTCACAGTGGCTCGTCTGTTGCAGGCGAGAGATTGAGTGACCCGTTGTGACTGAGTCTGAAAACATGAAGCCAGGATGGCAAGTCCCCACTTTTCCAAGTCCCCAAGGATCCCGTTCCCACATTGCCTTAAAGTGCCAGCCCCCATGGTTCACAGACCAGGCTAGCAGCCCTGAGCAGCTGTGCAGGGGGTGCCAGGTGGTGGGAGTCTTCTCAGCCAGGTGGGCCCAGCACAGAGCCAGGATACACTGTGTGCAGCTTATTCTGTAGCTGAGCTCAGGTCTCCTTCTCCCAAGGTACGTCCCAGGTTGCTGGGTTTTTCTTCTTTTCTTTGGTACTACACTCTCAACTTCTCTATTTTATCTTGTCTGTTTGTCTGTCTTCCCTGGGATGACCCTTAGGAATAAGTCCTCCTGAAGGCTGCAGATGACCCTCAAGAGAGCCAGCCGTTGTGTCCACTTCCTTATTCCTCAGGCCCTGGGCTGGCGTGTCCTCTGGTTGGACCCTGGGCCCTAGTGTGCCGGCCTCTCTCCCTCCCACCTGGAATGAGGATGTGAAGGCAGGGGGCATCCTGGTCTTCAGAGAGTTATAGGGCAGGTTCAACACCATGACTTTCCTGGGAGAGGGGCAGATAGAGGAGAGGCAATGGCCCAGGCCAGGCCCGGCCTCTGCCCGGGAAAAGGAGCCAAGAATCCAGCTGCGGAATAAAAATCATTTGTGAGTAAAGAGGACACTGGGTTTCCACTACCAGGGTTCTGGCTGGACAGCAGATGCTTGCTCAGAAAGGTGAGTCACTCCTGACATTTCCTTCCCTCATTCTGGGGTTCTGGGGGACTGTGGGTGCACGTCCCCTCGGCCTCTGATACCTCTGGACACTCGAGTGTCACAGGAGAGTCACATGCTGCAGGTCTAGCTCAGCTGCCATACCTGGGTCTGAGGTGCCACCATTGCCAACTGGGGACTGGCGAGTCGTGACCACAGAGACCCCAAGGGACCCCTATCTTACGCCCCATTTACGCCATCACTGAATCCGGTTCTTTTCACCAGAACATGGTCTGAATGAGCATGTGCTCACCAGTAAATCACACACTTGTCTCCTGGGCCCCCATCTCTCAGCTACAGAGTCCTCCAGACCCTCCACCTACCAGCCTCCATTCCTCAGCACCACTGGCTCTAAACCCTTTGAATCTCAGCCTCTTGGTCGTTCGCACCACAGTCACTCAGTCACTCCACCTCAGTCACTCCACCTCTCATCCCCTCTGTCGCACAGCCACCCACCACTCAGCGTCTCTGTTACTCAGCCCCCCAGTCTCAGTCCCTCTGCCTCTCAGCCCCACTATGTCTCTGCACCCCCGTCACTTAGCCCCTCTGACTCAGCACTCGGCTATAAGCCTCTGTCTCTCAGCCCCTCCATCTTTCAGTCCAAAGTCTCTCAGCCCCTCTGTCTCTCAACCCTTCCATCTCTTATTCCCTGTTCCCTACTCCCCTGTCTTTCAGATTTTGGTCTCTCAGACCCCCCCACCCCGACTCTCAGCCCCTCCGTATCTCAGGTCCAGTCCCTGAGCCCCTCTTTACCCTCTCCACACATCTTTCAGTCCCTCAGTCTCTCATCCTAACACTTTCTCATCACCTCTGTCTCTCAGTCAGTCTGTCTCTCAGCCCCCATCTCTCAGGCCCTCTCTCACCTAGTGTCTCCGTTTCTTAGCCCCTCCGTCTCTCAGCCCCACAGTCTATCGGTCCCTCTGTCTCTCAGCAAATCGGAACATCCCTTATCACTATTCCAACAATCAAACTCCTTAGTACTGAGCAAGAGTCATTGAAAACTCACACATACATATACACATATGCTCACACAAACACATACATACACATGTACATACACAAATGCACATGTACACACAAGCACACATACACACATACAGACACATATACACATGCACACATATGCACATGCACACGTGTGCACATGTACACACATAAACATATACCCACATACACACATGTACAAGTTCACACATGCAGACACATACACATACAACCACACATACACACACCCGAGCACCAGTACAGCAGCCTAAGTCACAGCCGAATCCTGGTTGAGCCAAACGGTCTTTGGGAGGGTGAAGGGGAGTGACGTGGACTCCACAGTCAGTGAGAGGAGAGAACTCTGTGGACAACGGAGGGCTCTGACCAGAGTGGCTGTGACCCGTTGTTCAGGTGTTCTGAAAGGGAGAAGCATGGGTTGGCAATGCGGCCCATGGTTCAGGGGTGCAGGGTGAGCCGGTGGAGAGGCAGGCAGGACGTGCTCTGCATGACAATGGTGCAGACATATATTTTGGGGGGTAGTCGTCACCCGGTGGTACGCAGGGGACCCTATGAGTCAGCTGTGTGCAAGGCAAGTGCTTGACCCCTACTCAGCCCGAACATGGCTGCAGACCCTGGAACCATAGCACTGAGTGAGCCCCAAGTCAGTGGTGGGGCCAAAGCAGGGCCAGAATTGGTGTCAGAGGCAGCATGTGCTCTGGTTGCCTGTGAACATGAAGGGAGGAAGCACATTTAAAAGGGGGGAAGTAGTTGCCCTCCTGAACTGGGCCATAGGTCTCCGCTGGGGACTTCACAGCAGGGAGGGCATGTGGCCGACCTGGGTTTGATCCCCAGAACCCCATATGAGTCAGCTGAGTACCACCTGGAATCACCTCTGAGCACAGAGCCAGGAGTAAGCCCTGAGGACTCACAGGTGTGCCTCTCCCCCACCAAAAAATTACGCAGACATAGTAATACTATGCATTGTTCTGTTCTATGGCATTTCAGGGTACTTGAACTAAGTTTCTGATAGTTGGTCATGAGGGCTTTGGAAAGAGAGACTGAATAAAATTCTAGTCAAGGTGATCATTCGAGTTTGTTTCAAAGTTTGTTGGGATATTGTTTTGGGCCACACCTAATGGTGCTCAGAGCTGACTCCCAGCTCTGCTCAGGGATCACTCCTGGCAACGCTTGGGGACCAAATGAGGTGCTGGTGATGAAACCCCAATCGCCATGTGGAGAGCAGATGTCTTAATCTCTTACTTTTTCTCTGACCCTCAAAAAATGTTTTTCATTGCAAAATTTAAAAAAATTGGGGCTGAAATGATAGTACTGTGGGTTAGGCACTTGCCTGTCACACCACTCACCCGAGTTCAATCCCCAGCACCCATCTGGTCCCCTGAACAATGCCAAGAGTGACTTGTGAGTGCAGAGACAGGAGTAACACCTGAGCACTGCCGATGTGACCCAGAAAGCAATATATATTTATTTATTATATATATTATGTTGATATATGGAGATATATTAACTAGATATTATATATATAGTTAATAAAGGAAGATTACAAGTCATAATGATATCTCGGAGTCAACTAAAGGGGGAAATGAGCTTCCCCCTTCCCCCCCCAAAACATGTGGACATGAGTTTAGCTTTTGGGCAAACAGACAGCACCATTCTGAGTAGGAGGCACTCGGGTCTGGCCTGGATTAGGGGCTGATAGGGGCTGGGCAGCCTTGGGTTTCTGACAGAGCCTCCCGGGGTCTGGGGAGTTCAAGCTTTGCATGTGGGAACCCACAGTAGGTGCCCAGTGTCACGTGGTCCCGTGCACAACAAGTGAAAATAAAATAATAGCACCTCCCTACCCCCCACCAAAGAAATCCTTTTGAAAAGCTATATTATTTCCTCAGCTCAGCCTGGGGAAGCACAGAGGCGAGAGTGGAAAGAAGCCCCTGTTTTAAGCGTCAGCTCCTTGCAGGGTTGCAACTAGCTCCCCACATCCTGAGTGGTCATGGCTCCGTGCCATTCTGCTGCTCAGAGCATCTTCACACTCAGCCCACAGGCCTGCATGAGAACTGGAAGGGAGGGGCGAGGGGGCACGGTGGGAGAGAGGAGGGAGAGCGAGGGACCCCAGAAGGCAGACCTGTGAAACCAGTGGCTCTGGGATTTGGGCCCTGCCTTCCCAGCAGCCTCAGAAATGCCTGAAAGCTTTGGTTTCTCCTTGGCATGGGGAGGCAGGCAGGCCTGCCCCAGGCCTCACCCGGCACTGTACTGGGTCCCCAAGCCTGCCAGGAGTGAGCGAGACCTAAGCATAGAGTCAGGAGTATTCCAGACCCCCCAGGGGAGCAAGGCACAAACATAGTAGGGGGGGCCTTTGCCTTCCACATGCCCAACCCAGGTTCAAACCACAGCACCACCAAGGCACCCCTGCAACGCACTCTAAGACCGCCAGAGAGATCCCTGAGTGCAGAGCCCAGAGTAAGCCCTGAACACAGCCAGGTGTGGCCCAGAATCAGAAACAAAACAACAAATGAGTGTGCAGCCCAGCAGACGCCCTCCTCCTTGCTGCGGCCACCCTCTGAGGAGGCCCCAGGTCAGCACCGCAGGCCTCACCCAAAACCAGTGGCTGCTGTGAGGAGGTGCAAGGGGACCAGAGAGTCACCCTGTGGGCCAGGACAGGGCAGGAGGTCTGTGGGACCAGCAGGAAGCACCTTGAGTGGGGTGGGGTTGGGCTGTTCCCCTTTGTGGGGAGTGGCTGTGTGGGGTCCCACGTAGCCTGTACCTGCCTCAGTCGCAACTGCAACATGCATGGCCGTAGGGAGGACCATGGCCCCCCTGCACGGAGTCCTTCTGAGCCTGGGTGAGTTCTGGAGGAGTCTGTGGACTGGGGGGGCCAGAGGGGCCCCCTCGCTGTGGCTCTTGAGTTTGACCCAAAGGCTCTGGGGTCTGGGGAGTGAAGTCCATCAGGGTGGGGGAGTTGAGAGGTACAGGACTGCCTGGTACTCATGGAGGGTCTGTTTCAGCCCTGTGCCTCGGCCAGCTGGGCCCCTCTCGGGAGCAGGCAGGTGAGTCCCCACAGTCCCCAAACGTGCCTCTGAACGAGGGAGCCAGGCTAGGAAAGGCTGCCTGGCAGCACCCGCAAACACATCCCTCCCCAGCTCTGTCCTTTCCTTAATTCTACTGCTAAGAGGCCTCTAACCTCCCAGTGCAACCCCTGCGCAGCAGACAGTCAGCGGCCAGGCAATCCGCCCTCCCCATGGCGCCCTGCAGGACACTAGTGGAGCCATGTGCTACGTGTGTGTGTGTGTGTGTGTGTGTGTGTATGTGTGTGTGTGTGTGTGTGTGTGTGTGTGTGTGTGTGTGTTGGGCGCAGCAGGGGAGGCAGGGCCCAGACTCTGCAGGCGAGTGCTCGGCCCTGAACACTCTCTAGGTCTTGTTGAGACCTTTGTGTCCTGGCAGAGATAACTGCCCCCTGGCCCCTCTGGCCTTGGGCTCTGCACTCTGCCCCCTTTCCTGCTTCGCGCTCAAGCTGCCCCAGCTTCCTCATGCCTCCTCTACACCTCCAAATTCCCATCTCACCCCACCCCACCGCAGCTCAGCCCATTAAACTCTGGCCTAGTTCGGACTGCCCGCCCAAGGGCTGGGCCTCAGCACCAGGGTCGAGGATTCAGGGATGGACAGAACCCCGAGGGCTGGTAGGATGAGGGGCGCTGGGTGGAAGCAAGCCAAGCCCTAGGCGCTGCCTCCAGGCGGGGCACTTGCCCACGGCTGGTCTGGTGGAGACAATCGGGGTCCACTGAGGAGGGGGAGGTTGTCTGTGGGAGAGGGTTGCCCAGACGGTGGGGTTTCTTGGGAGAGGGGTGCTCAGACCACAGCTGTTCGGGTTCCCACCAATGTTCCAGAGCAAAGCCCAAGATGCAACCAGAGTCAAGAAAGTTGCTGCCCAGAACAGCCAGGCATCTGGGCAGGGGTGTGGGTAAGGTTCTAGAAAGAACGAGGGCAGTGGTGCCCTGCTCTGTAGGTTCACACATACACTCACATAAACTCATACACCCACTCACACACGTACTCTCAAACACATATACTCAGTCACACACATGTACTCACACACATGCTCACACTCAAACAAATGTACTCACACAGTCACACACATATACACACATATATTCACACACACAAACACATATACTCAAACACGCACACACTCGCACATATACTGACACATCTATTCACACTCGTGTCACACATATACTCACTCACACACATACACACATTAACACACATACACTCATTAACACATGTACTCACACTCAACACATATATTCACACTCACACATGCACACACATATATTCACACTCTGTGCATTTACATACACTCACACATATACTCACACTCAACACATATTCACACTATGCACATATTCGCACACATATACTCACACATATTTTCTTTTTTTCTTTTTTTTTTTTTACAGTTTTTATGATTTTTATTACGGTATGTGTCTCCCTGAATACCAAGATGCAGGTTAAGTTCCTAAATTTATAGAATTATTTCAATATCATTTAGTGCAGAAATTCTCCATTTGGTATTAACATTGCTAAACCCTCAAAGTCCAAGAATAAGATTCAAGTAGTTAGTTATTAAATATAATTGTGATAGTTTTCTCCATATTTTATTTTATTTTTTTTCCTTTTTTATTAGTGAAACGACATGAGGTACAGTTGTAGATTTACAAATTTTTGTGCTTGGATCTCGGTCATACCCCGATCAAATACCCATCCCTCCACCAGTGCCCATTTTCCACCACCAGGATAATATCCCTCCCCCCCCATCCTCCCATCCCCCCATCCCCCCCTGCCACTGTGGCAGGGCATTCCCCCCTGTTCTCTCTCTCCTCCTGGGCGCTGTGATCAGCCAAAGAGGCATTGAGACTCACACATATTTTCACACACAAGCACACATAATCACATGCTAACACATATACTTACACTCAACACAAATATTCACACTCATGCAAACATACATCTACTCACACTCACACAATATGTACACACTCACATATCCATACCCATTTACTGACATTCACACACTCACACACCTCCCCACAGTCACACACTGACACATTCACATGCTGAATTGAGCATCAGGGGGCTGATCTGTGGGTTTCGTCCCCATCAACCCCCTAAGACCTGCTCTCATCCTCACTAGGGCTCCTCTCTCCGCCCTCCATCTCGGCCCAGCCGGACCCTGACATATCCTGGGGCCAGCCCGTGACCTTGGTGTGCCGGGGTCCTGCTGGGACCAACACATTCCGGCTAGAGAAGCAGAACAACATGTACAGCTGCGCAGATCCAACCCATGAGCAATGCAAATACACGGATCTGACATGTGAGAGACACAAGGTTCTGAAATGTGATGGATGTTACTGTGTGAATTCATCATGTGTGAGCTGTAACTCTGAAGACAACAGGTCCAGGTGTGATTCACACAAGACAGAGGCCCGGTTCATCATCTCGCAGTGAATAGAAACTTCGTGGGCTTTTACCACTGCCTCCACGGTATAAGAGGCCTCTGGTCTGAGCGTAGTGACCCCCTGGAGCTGGTGGTGATAACTGAGGACGTCTCTGATCAAACACCAGGTTTGCCCCAGGACCCCCACACTGCCCTAGCTGCCGTGACCACAGCCCTGACCCTCTGTCACTTGGGAGCACTGGGTCCCATGGCCCAGATAGCTCGAGATGCCCTCGACACTCAGCCCCATGGAGGGAACCCGGCCTGTCCTGGACACTCAGCTCAGGGCAGAGAACCCGGGATGGCCTGCAGGTGGGGCGGGAGCGGGCTGTGGTGACTGTGAGGGGACACATGTACTTCAGTAGAGCCCCCAACTTCCCCAGGCTCCTGCTGACCCACCCTTTCTTTGTTGTAAGACCCAAGCAGTGGACCCAGTGGGAAGTGTGTGACCCAGGCCCCTGCCAGCACAGGTGAGGGGTGATGGGACATTGAGCAAGTTGACTCCTGCATGTGCGATCGAGGAACACTCCTCCACCCCCCTGCTCTGGGCCTCAGAGGGGGGCTCCAAGCTCCCAGAGTCCAGTCTGTAAGGAAATGGGGTTGCAGGAGTGACCCTGACCCATCCTATCCCAGGCAGCCCCTCTCTGACCCAGTGTCCCTCTGTCTTGTCCACAGGAGCACCTCAGCTTCCCTCACCCAATAACACTCCCCGGGGTGACAGCCCAAACTGCAGGGAGGTGGGTGAGGGGCTGGGAAGCTCAGAGGCAACAGGCAGACCTGGGGATTTCCCTGGCCCTGGGGTGGTGGCCACGAGTCCAAGCTGGTTCAGTGGACAGGTCAGGGCTCCTCCCGCCATAGGCTCCAAACCTATTCCCAGCAACTGGACCCAGACCTCAGCTCTCAAAGCTCAAGATGTGAGAGCCAGAGCCAGATGAATCGCAGACTCCAAACTCTATATCAGTTTTCCAACCAGTTTTTCTCCTCAGAGACTGTGGAGGGTTTGCAGCAGCTCAACACCTCCCCCTGGTGGATGCAGCGCCTGCTGGTGGATAGTAGCGCCCCATATTGGACAGCAGCGCCCCCTGTCCGTATGCACCTGCCACTGCAGTTGTGACCCTGGGAGAAGCAGAGAGATCTAGACCAGCTCAGGTTTACCACGGAGCAGTAGTGCTCCAGGTCACCCTCCCTCTGGTGCTGACCCAACTGGGCTGAGTCAGGACATGGGGGCCCTGCTGTCCCCACCGCTGCCTTCATGTTCCTGCTATGAAACAAAGCCGGGTTCCCCCACAGATCCAGATTCGGCCGAGCTCTCACCCTCCTATGGAGGGTCTTCCTGTGGGCAGGTGGGAAGGATGTCCGGCCACTGCACCATAGGGGTGGCCTGGACCTGGCAGGCGCCCTGTCACTTGCACCCCCGACCTGCTGAACCTGAGCAGGGCTGCCCTCCCCTGCGCAGGTAGGTGAATGAGGACACAGGACAGTGGAGTGTATCCGCTGGGGCTATGAATAACAGGCAGGGCACTTGCCTTGCACTCCCCTAAGCCGGGCAATCCCCGTCATCCCATATGGTCCCCCAGGCCGTCAGGAGTGATCCCTGAGCACGGAGCGGGAGTAATCCCTGAGCATCACTGGGAATGGCCCCCCAAAACAAAAGTAGAACAAAACAAAACTAAGGATAGTGGTGGAGCTGCGCATGCGTGCGCAGAAACCCAGGCGCAGCTGAAATGTGAGCCGGATGTCGCCCCAAGCCCATCACTGAACATGTATGGTACATAGTGAATCTAGGTGGCATCGGTAACAGACCACGTGATCTCACGCCTCTCTTCTCCCAGGCCCGTCCCTGGTGCTCGTGTACATCATTCCCACGGCCGCCCTTGCCTTCCTCCTGCTCATCCTACTGCTTCTCCTCCTCTTGCACCAGTGCTGGAAGCGCGGTAGGTGGCTCTGGGAGAGGGTGGCGAGGTCGGGCAGGCCTGGGATTGCTGGGAGAGGCCCTCTCCCTAATCCACACCCCTGATCATCCCCAGGGATCCCCAGAGGCAAAGGCGAGGAGGGAAGATGGCAGGAGAGGTGAGGCTCTGGGACGGAGCCCTGTCCAGACCCCTGCACCTGGTGACCCCACACTCACACATATCTCCTTCTAGTTTCATCCTGGCAGGTGGCCTCCCAGACAAAACACCAGGTAAAGGGAGAGAGTGTGGGGGGACAGGCTGTGGGAGGTGGGAAGTTAGCGCCGGAAGAAAAGGTTTCTCTCATTCTCCTCCTCCTCCTCTTCCTCCTCCTCGTCCTCCTCTTTTCCCTGTCCCTGTCCCTCTCCTCCTTCCCCTTCTCCTTCCCCTTCTCCTTCTCCTTCTCCTTCTCCTTCTCCTTCTCCTTCTCCTTCTCCTTCTCCTTCTCCTTCTCCTCCTTCTCCTTCTCCTTCTCCTTCTCCTTCTTCTTCTTCTTCTTCTTCTTCTTCTTCTTCTTCTTCTTCTTCTTCTTCTTCTTCTTCTTCCCTTTCCCCTTCCCCTTCCCCTTCCCCTTCCCATTCCCATTCCCATTCCCCTCCTCTTCCTCCTCCTCCTTCTCCTACATCTCCACTTCCTCCTCCTAATCCTTCCTCCACTGAGGAGGTATGAGAAGGGTGAGGGAGAAAGATGATTACAGAGAAGAGAGCAAGAGAAACTCATGCACCCCGAGCTGAAATGCTGTGCCCCTCGTTTGCTCTCACCCTTGCCTGGGAGCTGCCTGCCACCCTATCTCCTTCAGATCTGGTCAAAGTGGATGGTGCCCTGATGCTGGGCAGGAACAGGGCCTCGCCGGTAAGCCCATGTACCCTCTCCATGTAAGGGACTGAATCATGGATTTGCGGGTGTCTCTGGCTCAGGGTCCTGGGAAGGTGCCAACTGGACCTTATCATGAACTTGGCAGTGTCCACGCTGAACTCTACCCTCCACCCAGGACATCCCCGTGGTCTCCCCAGAGGGAAGTCCTAGAGACAGCATGTCTTGTGTCCCAACCGTGGAGAGGACAGCTCCATTCTCACCATCCCTGACCATCTGGTGGGAACTCGAGGGGGTTCCTGGCTGTGGGGCTGGTTCCCTCCTTCCCAGCTCCATACTCCAACATCCTCACCCTCTCCTTAGACGCCTGCAGCAGGAGGCCCCCAGGAAGTGACCTACGCCCAGCTGGATCACCGCACCCTCACTCAGAGGCCCCAGGGTACTGCTCCCTCACAGACTGCAGACCCCACAACCAAGGACTGCACCTATGCCACCCTGGCCCCACTGTGAGCAGCTGCAGTCTCTGAGGGGTGCATGCAGAATCCCAAGTGTCCTCCAGGGGGCGACCTTTTGGGACTACATCCTTTAAAGCACCTGGAGGCAGGGTCTGGGTGAGCTATGCTCTTGGAGACTGGCCTGCCGGTGACCCCGGACACTAAGTGTCAGGGAAAATGGGCAGTGCCTGCTTCCAGACACCAAGAGAAGTCCCCTGAATGTGGAGACCCAGCCAGCTGGGGCTGCCCACGGATGGCCCAGTGAAGTCTCCAGCTGTGCCGTCCGCCTCGTGGCCTCAGTTATTCTCCCTGGAGTCCAGTGTTGACCTGGAGCTTCCCTGGCACTGATGCTGCCCAGAGCTCAGGCCCCAGATCACCCTGCACGCATCAATAAATGTCATAGTCCCCCAAACGGGGCCAAAAATCAGGCCTTCGTAGCTCCACCTTCCTAGCAAAGAAGCCGATAGAACCAATGGCATGGTTTTGGGGTGCGGGAGCGAGATGATTGGGGGTGTTGACTGGAGAAAGAGACAAACGCTCACCTCACCCACCCAGGGTGTTCAGACACCGCTCACACCCCTATGAAGGCAGACACATGCACACATGTGAAAGCTTCTACATCCCTCACACCCTCCGGTACAAATACGAACCCCTCACAAGTGCGCCACATATACCTACCTGCTCACGAGTGCACACCTGTTGAACCTGTGCACCTGTGTGTGCCCCATACAGGACGCACAGTGAACCGGAGGGGGTTCTGGTGAGCTCATGCTTGCAGAGGGAAGGGTGCTGGAGAGGTCAAGCTTACACCTGTGACAGAGCGCAGCCAGGAAGTGCTGAAGGTTCTCATCCCTACCCTACTCCAGCCCTCTAACACCAGACACTGTGTGTCCTCCAAACCCTGCAGGCCCGACTCTCACCCTCGAATTTCTGCCGCCTTTGGCCTGACATTGGGCACATGCCCTGGCTCACCTCTTCTGTTGTAGGCGAGAGGTTGAGTGACCGGTTGTGACTGAGTCTGAAAACATGCAGCCAGGATGGCAAGTCCCCACTTTTCCTAGGCCTCAAGGATCCCATTCCCACTTTGCCTTAAAGTGCCAGCCCCCATGGTTCACAGACCAGGCAGCAGCCCTGAGCAACTGTGCAGAGGGAGCCGTGTGGTGGGGGTCTTCTCAGCCAGGTGGGCCCAGCGCAGAGCCAGGGTACACTGTGTGCAGCTTATTCTGTAGCTGAGCTCGGGTCTGCTTCTCCCGAGATACGTCCTAGGTTGCTGGGTTTTTCTTCTTTTCTTTGGTACCACACACTCAAGTTCTCTATTTTATCTTGTCTTTCTGTATGTCCTCCCTGGGATGACCCTAAGGAACAGGCCTTCCTGAAGGCTGCAGATGACCCTCAAGAGAGCCAGCCGTTGTGTCCACTTCCCTATTCCTCAGGCCCAGAGCTGACGTGTCTTCTGGGGGGACCCTGGGCCTCGGTGTGCATTGGCCTCTCTCCCTCCTGGCTGGACTGAGGCTGTGAAGGCAGGGGGCATCCTGGTCTTCAGAGGGTTAAAGGGCGGGTTCCACACCATGATTTTCCTGGAAGAGGGGCAGATGGAGGAGAGGCAATGGCCCAGGCCAGGCCCGGCCTCTGCCCGGGTAAAGGAGCCGAGAGTCCAGCTGCAGAATAAAAATCATTTGTGAGGACAGAGGACACTGGGTTTCCTCTGCCAGGGCTCTGGCTGGACAGCAGATGCTTGCTCAGAAAGGTGAGTCACTCCTGACACTTCCTTCCCTCATTCTGGGGTTCTGGGGGACTGTGGGTGCACGTCCTCTCAGCCTCTGATACCTCTGGACACTCGAGTGTCACGGGAGATTCACATGCTGCAGGTCTAGCTCAGCTGCCATACCTGGGTCTGAAGGTGCCACCTGAACCTCCATCACTGCCAGCTGGGGACTGGAGAGTCGTGACCACAGAGACCCCAAGGGACGCCTGTCTCACCCCCCATTTACGCCATCACTGAATCCGGTTCTTTTCACCAGAACATGGTCTGAATGAGCATGTGCTCACCAGCAAATCACACACTGTCTCCTGGGCCCCCATCTCTCAGCTACAGAGTCCTCCAGACCCTACACCTACCAGCCTCCATTCCTCAGCACCACTGGCTCTAAACCCTTTGAATCTCAGCCTCTTGGTCGTTCGCACCACAGTCATTCAGTCACTCCACCTCTCAGCCCCTCCGTCGCACAGCCACCCACCACTCAGCGTCTCTGTTACTCAGCCCCCCAGTCTCAGCCCCTCTGCCTCTCAGCCCCACTATGTCTCTGCACTCCCGTCACTCAGCCCATCTGACTCAGCACTCGGCTATAAGCCTCTGTCTCTCAGCCCCTCCATCTCTCAGCCCAAAGTCTCTCAGCCCCTCTGTCTCTCAACCCTTCCATCTCTTATCCCCTGTTCCCTACTCCCCTGTCTCTCAGACTTTGGTCTCTCAGACCCCCGCGGCTCTCAGTCCCTCCGTATCTCAGGTCCAGTCCCTGAGCCCCTCTGTCCCCTCTCCTCGCATCTTTCAGTCGCTCAGTCTCTCAGCCTAACACTTTTTCATCACCTCTGTCTCTCAGTCAGTCTGTCTCTCAGCCCCCCATCTCTCAGCCCCTCTCTCTCCTGTTTCTGTTTCTTAGCGTCTCTGTTTCTTAGCCCCTCCATCTCTCAGCCCCACAGTCTATCGGTCCCTCTGTCTCTCAGCAAATCGGAACATCCCTTATCATGATTCCAACAATCAAACTCCTTAGTACTGAGCTAGAGTCACTGATAACTCACACACACACATATGCTCACACAAACACACATACACACAGGTACATACACAAATGCACATGTACACACATGCACACATACACACATGAATACACATATACACATGCACACATATACACACACGTGTATACAATACATACCCACATACACACATGTACAAGTCCACACATGCAGACACATACACATACAACCACACATACACACACCCGAGCATCAATACAGCAGCCTAAGTCACAGCCGAATCCTGGTTGAGTCAAATGGTCTTTGGGAGGGTGAAGGGGGGTGACGTGGACTCCGCAGTCAGCGAGAGGAGAGAACTCTTGGGACAACGGAGGACTCTGACCAGAAGGGCTGTGACCAGACACTCAGGTGTTCTGAAAGGGGGAAGCATGGGGTGGCAATGCGGCTCATAGTGCAGGGGTGCAGGGTGGAGAGGTGCAGTGGAGAGGCAGGCAGGACGTGCTCTGCATGACAGTGGTGCAAACATATATTTTTGGGGGTAGTTGACACCTGGTGATACTCAGGGGTCCCAATGAGTCAGCTGTGTGCAAGGCAAGTGCCTAACCCCTACCCAGCCCAGACATGGCTGCAGACCCATGGGACCATAGTACCAAGTAAGCCCCAAGTCAGTGGTTGAGGGAGGGCAGGGCCAGGCTTAGTGCCAGAGGCTGCATGTGCTCTGGTTGCCTGTGATCATGAAGGGGGGAAGCACATTTAAAAGGGGGGAACTAGTTGCCCTCCTGTACTGGGCCATAGGTCCCCGCTGGGGACTTCACAGCAGGGAGGGCATGTGGCCGATCTGGGTTTGATCCCCAGAACACCATATGAGTCAGCTGAGTACCACCAGGAATCACCTCTGAGCACAGAGCCAGGAGTAAGCCCTGAGGACTCACAGGTGTGCCCCTCCCCCACCAAAAAAATACCCAGACATAGTAATACTATGCATTGTTCTGTTCTATGGCATTTCCGGCTACTTGAACTGAGTTTCTGATAGTTGGTCATGAGGGCTTTGGAAAGAGGGACTGAATCAAAATTCTAGTCAAGGTGATCATTTGAGTTTGTTTCAAAGCTTGTTAGTTTGTTGTTTTGGGCCACACCTAATGGTGCTCAGAGCTGACTCTCAGTTCTGCTCAGGGATCACTCCTGGCAACGCTTGGGGACCAAATGAGTGCTGGTGATGAAACCCCAATGGCCACATGGAGAGCAGATGTCTTAATCTCTGACCCTCAAAAAATGTTTTTCAGTGCAAAATTCAAAAAATTGGGGCTGAAATGATAGTACTGTGGGTGGGGCACTTGCCTGGCACACCACCCACCCGAGTTCAATCCCCAGCACCCATATGGTCCCCTGAACTATTCCAAGAGTGATTTCTGAGTGCAGAGGCAGGAGTAACCCCTGAGCACTGCCGATGTGACCCAGAAAGCAATATATATATATATATTTATTATATATATTATGTTGATATATAGAGATATCACAAATCAAATCACAAATCATCCTGTTAATCGTCGATTGCCTCAAGCAGGCCCCAGTAACGTCTCCTTCATCCTAGCCCTGAGATTATATTCAAGGCTCTTTAAGAGAGTGAGACCCATAATTGTTACTGATATTTGGCATATTGGGTACGACACAGGGAGTTTGCCAGACTCTGCCGTGAGATATATTAACTAGAGATATATTAACTAGATATTATATATCTAGTGATTAAAGGAAGATTACAAGTAAAAATGATACCTCGGAGTCAGGAAAAGGGGGATATGAGCTTCCTCCTTTCCCCCAAAAAACATGTGGACATGAGTTTAGGTTTTGGGCAAACAGACAGCACCACTCTGGGTAGAAGGCACTCGGGTCTGGCCTGGATTAGGGGCTGATAGGGGCTGGGCAGCCTTGGGTTTCTGACAGAGCCTCCCGGGGTCTGGGGAGTTCAAGCTTTGCATGTGGGAACCCACAGTAGGTGCCCAGTGTCACATGGTCCCCTGCACAACAAGTGAAAATAAAATAATAGCACCTCCCTACCCCCCACCAAAGAAATCCTTTTGAAAAGCTATATTATTTCCTCAGCTCAGCCTGGGGAAGCACAGAGGCGAGAGTGGAAAGAAGCCCCTGTTTTAAGCGTCAGCTCCTTGCAGGGTTGCAACTAGCTCCCCACATCCTGAGTGGTCATGGCTCCCTGCCATTCTGCTGCTCAGAGCATCTTCACACTCAGCACACAGGCCTGCATGAGAGCTGGAAGGGAGGGGCGGGGGGGCACGGTGGGAGAGAGGAGGGAGAGCGAGGGACCCCAGAAGGCAGACCTGTGAAACCAGTGGCAGACCTGTGAAATCAGTGGCTCTGCCGTCCCAGCAGTCCTAGAAGTGCCTGAATGCTTTGGTTTCTCCTCGGCTGGGGGAGGCAAGCAGGCCTTCCCCAGACCTCTCCGGCACTGCACTCAGTCCCCGAGCCTGCCACAGTGAGCCCTGAGCACAGAGTCAGGAGTGTCCCAGGTCCCCAGGGGAGCAAGGATCAATCACAGTGGGAAGGGCCTTTGCCTTCCACATGCCCAACCCAGGTTCAACCCAAAGCACCACCAAGGCAACCCCCCCCAATGCACCCCAAGACCGCCAGAGAGATCCCCGAGTGCAGAGCCCAGAGTAAGCACTGAACACATCAGGTGTGGCCCAGAATCAGAAATAAAACAACAAATGAGTACGCAGCCCAGCGGACGCCCCCCTCCTTGCTGCGGCCGCTCTCTGAGGAGGCCCCAGATCAGCACCGCAGGCCTCACCCAAAACCAGTGGCTGCTGTGAGGAGCGCAAGGGGACAAGAGAGTCCCCGTGTGGGCCAGGACAGGGCAGGAGGTCTGTGGGACCGGCAGGAAGCACCTTGATTGGGGTAGGGTTGGGCTGTTCCCCTTTGTGGGGAGTGGCTGTGTGGGTCCCCACATAGCCTGTACCTGCCTCAGTCGCCACTGCAACACGCATGGCCGTAGGGAGGACCATGGCCCCCCTGCACGGAGTCCTTCTGAGCCTTGGTGAGTCCTGGAGGGAGCTGTGGAAAGGGGGGGCCAGAGGGGCCCCCTCGCTGTGGCTCTTGAGTTTGACCCAAAGGCTCTGGGGTCTGGGGAGTGAAGTCCATCAGGGTGGGGGAGTTGAGAGGTACAGGACTGCCTGGTACTCATGGAGGGTCTGTTTCAGCCCTGTGCCTCGGCCAGCTGGGCCCCTCTCGGGAGCAGGCAGGTGAGTCCCCACAGTCCCCAAACCTGCCTCTGGGCGAGGGAGCCAGGCTAGGAAAGGCTGCCTGGCAGCACCCGCAAACACATCCCTCCCCAGCTCTGTCCTTTCCTTAATTCTGCTGCTAAGAGGCCTCTGACCTCCCAGGGCAAGCCCTGCGCAGCAGACAGTCAGGGGCCAGGCCATCTGCCCTCCCCATGGCGCCCTGCAGGACACTAGTGGGGCCATGTGCTACGTGTGTGTGCGTGTGTGTGTGTGTGTGTGTGTGTGTGTGTGTGTGTGTGTGTTGGGCACGGCAGGGGAGGCAGGGACCAGACTTTGCGGGGGAGTGTTCGGCTCTGAGAACTTTCTAGAGCCTTTTCAGGCTTTTGTGTCCTGGCAGAGATAACTGCCCCCTGGCCGCTTTGGCCCTGGGCTCCTCATCCTGCCCCCATTCCTGCTCTGCACTCAAGCTGCCCCATCTTCCTCTCGCCTCCTCTACACCTCCAAATCCCCATTCCACCCCACCCCACTGCCCTCTGGTGGAGACAATCGGGGTCCACTGAGGAGGGGGAGGTTGTATGTGGGAGAGGGTTGCCCAGACGGTGGGGTTTCGTGGGAGCGGGGTGCTCAGACCACAGCTGTTCGGGTTCCCACCACTGTTCCAGAGCAAAGCCCAAGACGCAACCAGAGACAAGAAAGTCACTGCCCAGAACAGCCAGGCGTCTGGGCAGGGGTGTGGGTAAGGTTCTAGAATGAATTGGGGGAGTAGTGCCCTGCTCTGTAGGTTCACACACACACTCACATAAACTCATACTCCCACTCACACAAATACTCTCAAACACACATATACTCAGTCACACACATGTACTCACACACATGCTCACACTCAAACAAAGGTACTCACACACACACATATACACACATATATTCACACACACAAACACATATACTCAAACACGCACAACTCGCACATAAACTGACACATCTATTCACACTCGTACACACACATATACTCACTCACACACATACACACATTAACACGTGTACTCACACTCAACATATATTCACACTCACACATGCACATACATATATTCACACCCTGTGCATTTACATACACTAACACATATACTCACACTCAACACATATTCACACTATGCACATATTCACACACATATACTCATACATATTTTCACACACAAGCACACATAATCATATGCTAACACATATACTTACACTCAACACAAATATTCACACTCATGCAAACACACATATACTCACACTCACACAACATGTACACACTCACATATCCATACCCATATACTCACATTCACGCACTCACACACCTCCTCACACTCACACACTGACACATTTACATGCTGAATTGAGCATCAGGGAGCTGATCTGTGGCGTTCGTCCCCATCAACTCCCTAAGACCTGTTCTCATCCTCACTAGGGTTCATCTCTCCACCCTCCATCTCAGCCCAGCCGGGCCCTGACATACCTTGGGGCCAGCCCGTGACCTTGGTGTGCAGGGGTCCTGCTGGGACCAACACATTCCGGCTAGAGAAGCAGTACAACAAGTACAACTGTGAAAATCCAACCCATGAGCAATGGAACTACACGGATCTGACATGTGAGAGACACGTGGCTCAGGAATGTGTGGGATGTTACTGTGTGAATTCCCCATGTGTGAGCTGTAACTCTGAAGACAACGTGTTCAGGTGTGATCCAGGCGAGACAGAGGCCCAGTTCCTCATCCCGACAGTGAATGAAAGATCCGTGGGCTTTTACCGCTGCCTCTACCATAGAGAGGGCCTCTGGTCTAATCGTAGTGACCCTCTGGAGCTGGTGGTGAGAACTGAGGACGTCTCTGATCGAACGCCCGGTTTGCCCCAGGACCCCCACCCTACCCTAGCTGCCGTGACCACAGCCCTGATCCTCTGTCACTTGGGAAAACTGGGTCCCATGGCCCAGATAGCATGAGATTCCCCCGACACTCAGCCCCATGCAGGGAACCTTGCCTGTCCTGGACACTCAGCCCTGGCCAGAGAACCCGGGATGGCCTGCAAGGTGGGGTGGGAGTGGGCTGTGGTGACTGTGAGGGAACACATGTCCTTCAGTAGAGCCCCCAACTACCCAGGCTCCTGCTGACCCACCCTCTCTTTGTTCCAAGGCCCAAGCAGTGGACCCAGTGGGGAGTCTGTGACCCAGTCCCCTGACAGCATAGGTGAGGGGTGATGGAACACTGAGCAAGTTGACTCCTGCATGTGCGATCGAGGAACACTCCTCCACCCCCCTGCTCTGGGCCTCAGAGGGGGGCTCCAAGCTCCCAGAGTCCAGTTTGTAAGGAAATGGGGTTGCAGGAGTGACCCTGACCCGTCCTATCCCAGGCAGCCCCTCTCTGACCCAGTGTCCCTCTGTCTTGTCCACAGGAGCACCTCAGCTTCCCTCACCCAATAACACTCCTCGGGATGACAGCCCAAACTACAGGGAGGTGGGTGAGGGGCTGGGAAACTCAGAGGCCACAGGCAGGCCTGGGGATTGCCCTGGACCTGGGGTGGTGGCCCCGGGTCCAAGCTGGTGCAGTGGACAGGTCAGGGCTCCTCCTGCCATAGGCTGCAAACCCATTCCCAGCAACTGGACCCAGACCTCAGCTCTCAAAGCTCAAGATGTGAGAGCCAGAGCCGGCTGAACCCCAGACTCCAAACTCTTTATCACTTTTCCAACCAGTTTTTCTCCTCAGAGACAGTGGAGGGTTTGCAGCAGCTCAGCACCTCCCCCTGGTGGACACAGCGCCTGCTGGTCGATAGTAGCGCCCCATATTGGACAGCAGCGCCCCCTGTCCGCATGCACCTGCCACTGCAGTTGTGACCCTGGGAGGAACAGAGAGACCTAGACCAGCTCAGATCTACCACGGAGCTGTAGTGCTCCAGGTCACCCTCCCTCTGGTCCTGACCCTACTGGACTGAGTCAGGACATGGGGGCCCTGCTGTCCCCACCGCTGCCTTCATGTTCCTGCTACGAACCAATGTCGCGTTCCCCCACAGATCCAGATTCGGCCGAGCTCTCACCCTCCTTTGGAGGGTCTTCCTGTGTGCAGGTGGGAAGGATGTCCGGCCACTGCACCATAGGGGTGGCCTGGACCTGGCAGGCGCCCTGTCACTTGCACCCCCGACCTGCTGAACCTGAGCAGGGCTGCCCTCCCCTGCGCAGGTAGGTGAATGAGGACACAGGACAGTGGAGAGTGTCAGCTGGGGCTATGAGCAACAGGCAGGGCACTTGCATTGCACTCCCCTAAACCGGGCAATGCCCGTCATCCCATATGGTCCCCCAGGCCGTCAGGAGTGATCCCTGAGCACAGAGCTGGAGTAATCCCTGAGCATCACTGGGAATGGACCCCCAAAACAAAAATAAAACAAAACTAAGGATAGTGGTGGAGCTGCGCATGCGTGCGCAGAAAACCAGGCGCAGCTGAAATGTGAGCCGAATGTCACTCCAAGCCCATCACTGAACATGTACGGTACATAGTGAATGTAGGTGGCATCGGTAACAGATCACGTGGTCTCGCGCCTCTTCACTCCCAGGCCCGTCCCTGGACCTCGCATACGTCATTCCCACGGCCGCCCTTGCCTTCCTCCTGCTCATCCTACTGCTCCTCCTCCTGTTGCACCAGTGCTGGAAGCGCGGTGGGTGGCTCTGGGAGAGGGTGGCGAGGTCGGGCCGGCCTGAGATTGCTGGGAGAGGCCCTCTCCCTAATCCACACCCCTGATCATCCCCAGGGACCCCCAGAGGCAAAGGCGAGGAGGGAAGATGGCAGGAGAGGTGAGGCTCTGGGACGGAGCCCTGTCCAGACCCCTGCACCTGGTGACCCCACACTCACACATATCTCCTTCTAGTTTCATCCTGACAGGTGGCCTCCCAGAGAAAACACCAGGTAAAGGGATAGAGTGTCGGGGGACAGGCTTTGGGAGGTGGGCAGTTAGCGCTGGAAGAAAAGATTTCTGTAGTTCTCCCCTCCTCCTCCTCCTCCTCCTCCTCTTCCTCCTCTTCTCCCTCCCCCTCCCCCTCTCAATCTCCCTCTCCCTCTCCCACTCCCTCTCATCCTCCTCCTGCTCCTCCTCCTCCTCCTCCTCCTCCTCCTCTTCCTCCTCCTCCTGCTCCTCCTCCTCCTCCTCCTCCTCCTCCTTCTTCTTCTTCTTCTTCTTCTTCTTCTTCTTCTTCTTCTTCTTCTTCTTCTTCTTCTTCCGCTTCCACTTCCCCTTCCCCCTCCCAATTCCATTCCCATTCCCCTCCTCTTCCTCCTCCTCCTTCTCCTCCTCCTCCACTTTCTCCTCCTAGTCCTTCCTCTAATGAGAAGGTATGAGAAGGGTGAGGGAGAAAGATGACCAGAAAGAAGTGAGCAAGAGAAACTGATGCACCCCGAGCTAAAATGCTGTGCCTCTGGTTTGCTCTCACCCCTGCCTGGGAGCTGCCTGCCACCCTATCTCCTCCAGATCTGGCCACAGTGGATGGTGCCCTGATGCTGGACAGGAACAGTGCCTCACCGGTAAGCCCCATGTACCCTCTCCATGTAAGGGACTGAATCATGGATTTGCGGGTGTCTCTGGCTCAGGGTCCTGGGAAGGTGCCAACTGGACCTTATCATGAACTTGGCAGTGTCCACGCTGGACTCTACCCTCCACCCAGGACATCCCCGTGGTCTGCCCAGAGGGAGGTCCTAGAGATAGCATGTCTTGTGTCCCAACCGTGGAGAGGACAGCTCCAATTTCATCATCGCTGACCATCTAGGTGGGAACTCGAGGGGGTTCCTGGCTGTGGGGCTGGTTCCCTCCTTCCCAGCTCCATACTCCAACATCCTCACCCTCTCCTTAGACGCCTGCTGCAGGAGACCCCAGGAGGTGACCTACGCCCAGCTGGACCAACGCACCCTCACTCAGAGCCTCCCGGGTACTTCCCCCTCGCAGACTGCAGACCCCACAACCAAGGACTGCACCTATGCCACCCTGGCCCCACTATGAGCAGCTGCAGTCTCTGAGGGGTGCATGCAGAAGTCCGAGTGTCCTCCAGGGGGCGACCGTTTGGGACTACGTCCTTTAAAGCACCTGGAGGCAGGGTCTGGGTGAGCTATGCTCTTGGAGACTGGCCTGCAGGTGACCCCGGACACTCAGTGTCAGGGAAAATGGGCAGTGCCTGCTTCCAGACACCAAGAGAAGTCCCCTGAATGCGGAGACACAGCCAGCTGGGGCTGCCCACGGATGGCCCAGTGAAGTATCCAGCTGTGCCGTCCGCCTCCTGGCCTCTGTTATTCTCCCTGGAGTCCAGTGTTGACCTGGAGCTTCCCTGGCACTGATGCTGCCCAGAGCTCAGGCCCCAGATCACCCTGCACGCATCAATAAATGTCATAGTCCCCCACGCGGGGCCCAAAATTAGGCCTTCATAGATCCACCTGCCTAGCAAAGAAGCCGATAGAACCAATGGCATGGTTTTGGGGTGCGGGAGGGAGATGATTGGGGGTGTTGGCTGGAGAAAGAGACAAACGCTCACCTCACCCACCCGGGGGTTCAGACACCGCTCACACCCCTATGAAGGCAGACACATTCACACATGTGCAAGCTTCCACATTCCACACACCCTCCAGTACAAATGCGGACACCTCCCAAGTGCACCCCATATACCTACCTGTTCACAAGTCCACAACTGTTGAACCCGTGAACCTGTGTGTGCCCCCTACGGGACGCACAGTGAACCAGAGGGGGTTCTCGTGAGCTCATGCTTGCAGGGGGAAGGGTGATGGAGAGGTCAAGCTTACACCTGTGACAGAGCACAGCCAGGAAGTGCTGAAGGTTCTCAACCCTACGCTACTCCAGCCCTCTCACACCAGACACTGTGTGTCCTCCAAACCCTGCAGGCCCCACTCTCACCCTCGAATTGCTGCCACCTTTGGCCTGGCATTGGGCAGCTGCCCTGGCTCACAGTGGCTCCTCTGTTGCAGGCAAGAGGTTGAGTGACCCGTTGTGACTGAGTCTGAAAACATGAAGCCAGGATGGGAAGTCCCCACTTTTCCTAGGCCCCAAGGATCCCGTCCCTACTTTGCCTTAAAGTGCCAGCCCCCATGGTTCACAGACCAGGCTAGCAGCCCTGAGCAGCTGTGCAGGGCGTGCAGGTGGTGGGGGTCTTCTCAGCCAGCGCAGAGCCAGGAGACACTGTGTGCTGCTTATTCTGTAGCTGAGCTTGGGTCTGTTTCCTCCTGAGGTATATCCCAGGTTGCTGGGTTTTTTCTTTTCCTTTGGTACCATGCTCTCAATTTCTCTATTTTATCTTGTCTGTCTGTCTGTCCTCCCTGGGATGACCCTAAGGAACAGGCCTTCCTGAAGGCTGCAGATGACCCTCAAGAGAGCCAGCTGTTATGTCCACTTCCCTAGTCCTCAGGCCCTGGGCTGGCATGTCCCCTGGGGGGACCCCGGGCCCTTGTGTGCAGGCCACTCTCCCTCCCGGCTGGAGTGAGGCTGTGAAGGAAGGGGGCGTCCTGGTCTTCAGAGGGTTATAGGGTGGGTTCCACACCGTGACTTTCCTGGGAGAGGGGCCGATGGAGGAGAGGCATTGGCCCAGACCAGGCCCGGCCTCTGCCCGGGTAAAGGAGCCGAGAGTCCAGCTTCGGAATAAAAATGACTTGCGAGGACAAAGGACACTGGGTTTCCTCTGCCAGGGCTCTGGCTGGATAGCAGATGCTTGCTCAGAAAGGTGAGTCACTCCTGACACTTTGTTCCCTCATTCTGGGGGTCTGGGGGACTGTCGCTGCACGTCCCCTCAGCCTCTGATACCTCTGGACACTCGAGTGTCATAGGAGATTCTCATGCTGCAGGTCTAGCTCAGCTGCCATACCTGGGTCTGAAGGTGCCACCTGAACCTCCATCATAGCCAGCTGGGACTGGCGAGTCATGACCACAGAGACCCCAAGGACCCCTATCTCACCCCCCATTTACGCCATCACTGAATCCGGTTCTTTTCACCAGAACATGGTCTGAATGAGCATGTGCTCATCAGCAAATCACACACTGTCTCCTGAGCCCCCATCTCTCAGCTACAGAGTCCTCCAGACCCTCCACCTACCAGCCTCCATTCCTCAGCACCACTGGCTCTAAACCCTTTGAATCTCAGCCTCTTGGTCGTTCGCACCACAGTCATTCAGTCACTCCACCTCAGTCACTCCACCTCTCAGCCCCTCCATCGCACAGCCACCCACCACTCAGCGTCTTTGTTACTCAGCCCCTCTGCCTCTCAGCCCCACTATGTCTCTGCACCCCCGTCACTCAGCCCATCTGACTCAGCACTCGCCTATAAGCCTCTGTCTCTCAGCCCCTCCATCTCTCAACACAAAGTCTCTCAGCCCCAATGTCTCTCAACCCTTCCATCTCTTAGCCCCTGTTCCCTACTCCCCTGTCTCTCAGATTTTGGTTTCTCAGACGCCCCCCCCCAGCTCTCAGCCCCTCCATATCTCAGGTCCAGTCCCTGAGCCCCTCGGTCCCCTCTCCACGCATCTTTCAGTCCCTCAGTCTCTCAGCCTAACACTTTCTCACCACCTCCCTCTCTCAGTCAGTCTGTCTCTCAGCCCCCATCTCTCAGCCCCTCTCTCTCCTAGCGTCTCCGTTTCTTAGCCCCTCCATCTCTCAGCCGCACAGTCTATCGGTCCCTCTGTCTCTCAGCAAATCGGAACATCCCTTATCATGATTTCAACAATCAAACTCGTTAGTACTGTGCTAGAGTCATCGAAAAATCACACATACATACACACATATGCACACACAAACACACATACACACATGTACATACACAAATGCGCATGTACACACAAGCACACACACATGAATACACATATACACATGCACACATATGCACATGCACACATGTGCACATGTCCCTACATACACATTTACCCACACATGTACAAGTGCACACATGCAGACACATACACATACAACCACACATACACACACCCGAGCACCAGTACACCAGCCTAAGTCACAGCCGAATGCTGGTTGAGCCAAATGGTCTTTGTGTGGGTGAAGGGGGGAGACGTGGACTCCGCAGTCAGAGAGAGGAGAGAACTCTGGGGACAACGGAGGGCTCTGACCAGAGTGGCTGTGACCCATTGTTCAGGTGTTCTAAAAGGGGGAAGATGGGATGGCGATGTGGCCCATGGTGCAGGGGTGCAGGGTGAGCCGGTGGAGAGGCAGGCAGGACATGCTCTGCATGATAATGGTGCAGACATATATTTTGGGGCGTAGTCGTCACCTGGTGGTACTCAGGGGACCCTATGAGTCAGCTGTGTGCAAGGCAAGTGCTTAACCACTACCCAGTCCGTACATGGCTGCAGACCCCTGGGACCATAGCACCGAGTGAGCCCCAAGTCGGTGGTGGGGGCAGGGCAGGGCCAGGCTTAGTGTCAGAGGCTGCATGTGCTCTGGTTGCCTGTGAACATGAAGGGGGGAAGCACATTTAAAAGGGGGGAACAAGTTTCCCTCCTGAACTGGGCCATAGGTCCCCGCTGGGGACTTCACAGCAGGGAGGGCATGTGGCCGACCTGAGTTTGATCCCCAGAACCCCATATGAGTCAGCTGAGTACCACCTGGAATCACCTCTGAGCACAGAGCCAGGAGTAAGCCCTGAGGACTCACAGGTATGCCCCATCCCCCGCCAAAAAAATACCCAGACATAGTAATACTATACATTGTTCTGTTCTATGGCATTTCAGGGTACTTGAACTGAGTTTCTGATAGTTGGTCATGAGGGCTTTGGAAAGAGGGACGGAATCAAAATTCTAGTCAAGGTGATCATTTGAGTTTGTTTCAAAGTTTGTTGGTTTGTTGTTTTGGTTCACACCTAATGGTGCTCAGAGCTGACTCCCAGTTCTGCTCAGGGATCACTCCTGGCAACGCTTGGGGACCAAATGAGGTGCTGGTGATGAAACCCCAATGGCCACATGAAGAGCAGATGTCTTAATTTCTTACTTTTTCTCTGACCCTCAAAAAATGTTTTTCATTGCAAAATTCAAAAACTGGGGCTGAAATGATAGTACTGTGGGTGGGGCACTTGCCTGGCACACCACGCACCCGAGTTCAATCCCCAGCACCCATATGGAAGTCACGTCTGAGTGCAGAGACAGGCGTAACCCTTGAGCACCACCAGATGTGACCCAGAAAGCAATATATATACATTATATATATATTATGTAGATATATAGAGATATATTAACTAGATATTCGATATCTAGGTAATAAAGGAAGATTACAAGTTATAATGACACCTCGGAGTCAACAAAACCGGGAAATGAGCTTCCCCCTTCCCCCCCCCAAAACATGTGGACATGAGTTTAGGTTTTGGGCAAACAGACAGCACCACTCTGAGTAGGAGGCACTACGGGTCTGGCCTGGATTAGGGGCTGGCAGGGGCTGGGCAGCCTTGGGTTTCTGACAGAGACTCCTGGGGTCTGGGGAGTTCAAGCTTTGCATGTGGGAACCCACAGTAGGTGCCCAGTGTCACATGGTCCCCTGCACAACAAGTGAAAATAAAATAATAGCACCTCCCTACCCCCCACCAAAGAAATCCTTTTGAAAAGCTATATTATTTCCTCAGCTCAGCCTGGGGAAGCACAGAAGCGAGAGTGGAAAGAAGCCCCTGTTTTAAGCGTCAGCTCCTTGCAGGGTTGCATCTAGCTCCCCACATCCTGAGTGGTCATGGCTCCGTGCCATTCTGCTGCTCAGAGCATCTTCACACTCAGCCCACAGACCTGCACGAGAGCTAAAAGGAAGGGGCGAGGGGGCACGGTGGGAGAGAGGAGGGAGAGCGAGGGACCCCAGAAGGCAGACCTGTGAAACCAGTGGCTCTGGGATTTGGGCCCTGCCGTCCCAGCAGCCTTAGAAGTGCCTGAATGCTTTGGTTTCTCCTCGTCAGGGGGAGGCAAGCAGACCTGCCCCAGACCTCCCTGGTACAGCACTCAGTCCCCGAGCCTGCCAGGAGT